TGTCTTCCAAGGTGCCTGGGGGACTCAGCTAAGCATCAGACTCTGGGTTTAGGCTCAGGTCATGGTCTCAGGGTCCCAGAGTTGAGCCCCACATCAGACTCCCTGCTCAGCGTGGCGTCTGTTGGAGTTTCTCTCTCTCCCTCATGTTGCCCCTTCCCTCCCCTCCACAGGCACACTTTCTCTCTCTCACTGTCTCTCAAATAAATCAAACTTAAAAATAAAATATGTCTCTTAGGTATATATCTAGGAGTGCAGTTGCTAGGTCATATGGTAACTCTATATTGAAATTTTTTTTTTTAATTCTAATGTGGTTAACATGCAGTGTTGTGTTAGTTTCAGGGGGATGGTACAGTGACTCCGTCCTTCCACACATCCCTCCCGGCTCATCAGGACAAGTGGCTCCCACTTCTCCTCATGAAGCTCCCCATCCCCCACCAGCCTCGCCTCTGATGACCCTTTGTTCCCTGTAGTTAAGAGTCTGTTTTTTGGGTTCTTTTTTTTTCTTCTTTTGCTCATTTGTTTTGTTTCTTAAATTCTATATGAGTGAAATCATGTGGTATTTATTTTTCTTGGACTTACTTTGCTTAGGATTATACTCTAGCTCCATCCATGTGGGTGCACATGGCAAGATTTCATTCTTTTGATGGCTGAGGAATGTTCCATTGTATATGTACACCACGTCGTCTTCATCCGCTCATCCATCAGTGGACACTTGGGCTGCTTCCACAGTTTGGCTATTGTAGATAATGTTGCTATGAACATAGGGGTGCAGGTATCCCTTCAAATGAGTGTTTCTGTATTATTTTGGTAAATACCCAGTAGTGAAATTACTGGATTTGTAGAGTAGTTCTGTTCTTAGTTTTTTGAGGAACCTCCACACTGTTCTCCACAGTGGCTGCACCAACTTGCATTCCCACCAACAGTGTAGGAGGGTTCCCCTTTCTCCGCATCCTCACCAGCATCTGTTGTTTCTTGTGTTGTTGGTTTTAGACACTCCGACATGTGTGAGGTGATCTCTCATCATGGTTGCAATCTGCATTTCCCTGAGGATGAGTGATGTTGAGTATCTTCTCATGCATCTGTTGGCCATCTGTTTTTCTTTTTTGGAGAAATGTCCGTTCATGTCTTCTGTCCATTTTTTAATTGGATTATTTGTTTTTTGGGGTGTTGTATAAATTATTTATATGTTTTAGATGGTAACCCATTATTTTCCCAGTCAGTAGGCTGTCTTTTAGTTTTGTTGGTCTCCTTTGCTGTGCAGAAACTTTCTATTTTGATGAAGTCCCTGTAATTTAGTTTTGCTTTTCTTTCCCTTGCCAAAGGAGACATGTCTTGAAAAATGTTGCTGTGGCTGGTGTCAGAGAAATGACTGCCTGTGCTCTCTTAAAGGATTTTTACAGTTTCATGTCTCATATTTAGGCCTTTAATCCATTTTGAGCTTATCTTGTGTATGGTGTAAGAAAGTGGTTCAGTTTTCCTAATACCATTTGTTGAAGAGACTTTTTCTCACTGCATGTCCTTACCTTCTCTGTTGGAGATTAATTGACCATATAATTGTGGGTTTATGTCTGGATTTTCTGTTCTATTGTTTTTTGTTTTTTGTTTTTGTTTTTTTTTTTTGAGAGAGAAGAGAGGGCGAACACCTGTAAGCTGGGGGAGGAGCAGAAAGGGAGGGAGAGGAAGGGGAATAACGTAAAGCAGACTCCGTGCTGATGGCAGAGCCTGATGTGGGGTTCGATGCCGCAGCTCTGAGATCATGACCGAGGTGAAACCAGGAGTCAGATGCGTAACCAACAGAGCCACCTGAGTGCCCCAACATATGTGTATTTTGTGCCAGTCCCATAGTTTTGATGACTACAGCTTTGTTATCGAACTTGGAGTCTGGAATTGGGATACCTACAGTTTTTCTTTTCCAAGATTGCGTTGACTGTTTGGGGTCATTGGTGGTTCCATTCAAATTATGGGAGTGTTTGTACTCTTGACTGCAGACTTTCCTCTTTCAGCACTTTGAGTATGTCACACCACTCCCTTCTGGTCCACAAAGTTTGTGCTAAAAAAGCAGCTGATAGTGTTGTGGGGTTTCCCTTATATGTAATGGTCTTTTTTTCTCTTGCTGCTTTAAAAAAATTTTTAGCAGTATTTTTTGCCATTGTAATTACCATGTGTCATGGTGTGGACCTCTTTGGGTTAATTTGTTTTGAAGGGTCTCTGTGCCGCCCGGATCTGGATCTCTGTTTCTTCCCTCAGAGTGGAAAGGTTTCTGCTATTCTTTCTTCAAATAAATTTTCTGCTCCCTTTTCTCTTCTTGTTCTCCTGGGATCCCTGTAGTGCCGCAGTTACTATGCGTGATGGAGTCACCAAGCTTCAGAATCTATTCTCATTTTCCGTGTTTGTTCCTCACCCGCTCAGCTTGCTTTCCATCTTCCTCTAGCCCGCGACCTGTTACACCAGGTGTGTTTTAAGTGTCATGTATTCTTGCCGACTGATTCTTTTTTATCTCTGTATTACGGGTCTCACTGATGTCCTCGTCCTCCCCTCTTTTCTCAAGTCCAGTGAGTCTCTTTATGATGTTACTTTAAGTTCCTATTGGTCATACTACTGATATGTTTCAGTTAGGTCTTTTGTTGGGGTTTTGTCCTTTCATTTGGGACATAGTCCTCTGCTCATTTTATGTAATTATTGGTGTCTGTCTCTGTGCAGATAGTCCGCGACCTCTCCAGCTCTTGAAGGTAGTAGGTGGGGTGCACACTTTCGGCAAGGTGGCCCTGTCCTCTTACAGAGGGGTGGCGCCCCTGCCGCCAAGCCCGGGCCGCTCCACAAAGTGTGCGAGTGGGATGGGCAGTCCCTGCTCTGCCCTGCACTCTGCCGGGGGTGCCCATAGCTCCGAGGAGACAGGCTGGCCAGTGCCGCTCTGCAGGGCACGCGCAGGGTGTGCATTTTTAACAGGGAGCGAGCATCCTCCACGGGAGGTGACCCACGGCTGCTGCTGGGACCGAGGCCCTGCAAAACCCTCAGCGGGGACACAGCACGTTGGCAAGGTCTGCATGGTCTTCTGGGGAGGGGACCCGCCGCACCAGGGCTGAGGCAGGTCCAGCTGCAGGGTTGGGGGGCAGGGTACCACGTGAGCAGGTTACATACTGGATGCTGGCCCCGTCCAGGCTCTGCGTGGGGGCTGGGCGGGGTGGTGGTGCCTGCCAGCTCCTTTGTTCCTGGAGGAGTCTCCCGGGGAAGTCTGTCCCTCTGGTCGGTGCTCGGAGATCAGTGAGGAACTCGCTCTCCCGTCTACCCCAGGCCTCTCTCAAACTGCCCTTGCTGCTTCTCTGCTCTCCCTCCAGCCTCTCCAGAACAGAGCCTGTTGGTTTTTAAAATTCCAGGCTTTAAGTTCCAAGTGGTTGTAGGAACTTGCGGAATTTGGCCCCCCTGGTTTGCAGAGACAAATGTTATGGGAATTCATGCCCTGCAGGCTCCCAGGCGTGAGGATCTGTCGTCTCCCCTCCCTGTGCGCTCTGGTCCTTCCTGGCTGAAGGTGGCCTTGGCCCTTGAGCTCCCAACCACGTGTCCGCTCTCCTCACCCACCCTCACGTGTCCTCTTCTCTCCATGGCGTTGTGGTCTTTGGGTCATTTTCTGGGTGATTTAAGTGGACGTGTTATCCTTGTGTCCATGCGCCAAGGTGCGCGTAGGGCCCTTTTCTGCCATCTTCCTGGAAGTCAGGGCTGCACTTTAAAAAAAAAAACCTGCCAGACTGTTTCTCACAGTGGGTGTGCTGTGTGCCATCTGCTCATGCTGGGAGGGCAGGAGGCTTCTGGGTCCTCCTCCTCTTCCCCAGCACTTGTTATGGAGGTTTTGATTCTAGATGTCCTGGATGGCTGTGCCTTTCGCCCTGATTGCTAATGAGGTCAAGCATCTTTTCATGTACTTATTGGACATTTGTATCTTTATCCAGATCTTTTGCCCATTTTTAATTGAGTTGTATTGTTTTAAGTGTTCTTTATGTATTTTAGATCTAAGTCCCTTGTTAGATACGATTCTGCAAATATTTTTCCCCTTCTTGTGGCGTTTTTTTCATTCTCTGGATGGTGTCTTTTGAAGTTTTTAATTTTGGTGAATTTTATATTCGCTGTTTATGCTTTTGGTGTCTATTCAAGAATCCTTTGCCAAATCCTGGGACATGATTTGTCCCTATATTTTTCTTTCCATAATTTTATAGTTTTTACTCTTATATTTAGGTTTTCGATCTATTTTGAGTTACTTTTTGTATAGGTGTAATGAGGTTAGGATCCAACTTCTTTCTTTTACATGGACATTCTTGAACTGCTGCAAATCATAAATTTTCAGGCATCCCACCTTATCTAGGTTATATTTTGTTTCCTATATTTGGCTAGATTAGTCTTAGAAAAGGAGGAGTTTCCGTATCAATACTAATGGTATAGCGAGCAACGTTGTTTCATACCCTTGTTTAACTTTAAAATAGACCACTGACGATAGGTCCAAGGACCTCAAACAAATTCTGGATTTTATGCCAGCTTTGATTTGCCTTATAAGACAGTTTTGATCTGCTTACTTGAAACCATTTGAAATTTTTTGAATGGTGAACTCAGCTTGAGGACAGAAACGGCGGAAATGATTATAGAAGCAGGAAATGGAAACTTATTTGATCATTATGATCATTTCATTATTTTAGCTTGCAAATATCCACATTATTATATGGTTTTATAGCTATTTTGGGACTATCTAATTTGGTTAATTTGGGCATCACCTTGTGTTTCAGTAAGGGATTAAAACGATGGTAATTCATGGCTGCACGCGGAACTCTGAAAGACGACTTTGTCCATCCTGAGAAAAGAAAAAGATAACACCTCTCAAATATAAACACAACTGAAACGAGCACTGTAGCGGAACAGGTCCATCCTCCTTTGAGATGAGAACAGCATCTGCAGTCTCCTACAAGAGAGATCTTGTTTATCTTTGTCTCAAGCACACTGAACAATTGTCTTTCTAGAGCAACCCTGGAATGGTCCCCAGCCATGGATTCAGTCCCAGATCTTACTTCTTTGACAACCCTCGAAGATACGATAGTGATGATGACCTTGCCTGGAACATTGCCCCTCAGGGACTTCAGGGAAGGTAAGACCCTGGTTCGTGGTAGAGAGGCACGGTGAGGAGGCTGAGCACGGCACCCATGAAATCGGTTCAGTCCAAGAGAAAATCCCTGGAGTCGGAGGGAGGGTGAGGCACACAGGAATGGAGGGGAAGCCCCTGAGAACGAGACAAAGTGTCACCAGAGTAGCGCCCCACTCCCAGGATTCTGCTTCCATAGGTGTGTGGCGGACAGGAGCGGTGGGAGCTATTGGGGTTCCTTGCGCTCTCCTGTGACACTTCAGCCACCCTCCACGGCCCAGTGGTCATTATGTCCCCTCCTCCTGCCTGTCTCCTCCTCCACCCTGAAGCTGGGCATTCAGGGTGAGCAGAGCAGAGAGAAGCAACAAGGGCTGACCCAGGGCTCCCTGAGCTCCCTCCGCTCTCTGCTTGTGCTTCCAGGATCTGGTGCAGTTCCTGGGCAAGGGAGGCTTCCGGCTGTGTTTCTTGGAAGTGAAAGCTTATTGTTGGCCATCCTTTGTACCTTTAAAAGCAGTCATTAACATTTTAATATAAACCAACCCCAGTCCCAGGTGGAATGATACAAGAGAAGATAGCCTGGCTTTTCTGCTCCTTATTATGAACAGTAAATGTCCTTGGAAAACTTTAAAAGAGCTCTGAAAAGAGCCCTTGTTTGGGGACCCAAGAACAGAGAAGCTGGGAGGGTATCCTGCTTTCTCAGTGGACAAGAGAGCAGGGAACCAGAAAGAATGTAAGATGGTGCTTGGGGAAGAGAAAATGCAGCCCTGCACGGGCCAAGCCAGCAGATGTGCAGAACACAGAGGTCTGGAAGCAGGCCAGTAAAGAAGGACTCCTGAGGTCCAGAGCTGCTCAAACCCTCACCCCAACACTGCTCTCTTACCCAGTTACCCCACTGCATGTCCTTCTGGGGCCCGTGGGAGCAACCCTAGCCCCCCATCTGCCCAAGGCAGCCTAGAGCCGAGTGCCCTCTCTCCTGAGGTAGAAGATCCCTCTTCCACTCCCTGCAGGAGAAGAATAAGGAGATGCACAATAGTGAGTGCTTACTGTGTATTAAGGTACTGTTCTAAGCACTCGATAGGTATTAACTCACAGAAGCCCAGCAAGGCAGGTACTGAGATCGCTGGTATTCTGCAGATGATAAAGCTGACACACAGAAGTTATTTTTCCAGATGTACCAGATATGATTTTTTGGCAAAATATTTTGTTACATGTAGTGATTGGTTTATGGTTCTAGTAATACTATGCTTCTGGGCTCTGTGGAGCTCAGTGTTTTTTTGTTTTGTTTTGTTTTAGAGTGAGCAAGCCTGAGTAGGGGCCGGGGGGAATCATAAGCAGGCTGTACACACAGAGCCCAAGTAAGGCTTTATCTCTCAAGCCTGAGGTCAGGACTTGAGCCAAAATCAAGAGTTAGATGCTTGATGTTTAACTGACTGTGCCGCCCAGGCGCCCTGAATTCACTATGTAGGTGAACTTGTAGCCACTGCATGTGGGCTTCAAGAAGCCACTTTAAAAACTGGGATTGTCTACAGTTCATACAAAATCCCAGTTCTGTCCAACTAAAATAGAGATGTCATTGATAGAAAGTATAATGTTTCAAGTCACCAAACTATCTCTTTTTTTCAAGTTTTGCTCCAGACTACTATGACTGGGGACAACAAACTAACAGCTTCCTGGCACCAGTGGGAACTTTCCAACCAGACCCAGTTTTGGATCCTGACAAACCAAGCCATGGGTAGTATCAGTCAACAATTCTGTGGAAGATTCCTCAAGTGAAGACCTTCAAAGAGATTAACTTCATGACAGCTGAATTTTTATAAGGCACTTTTCCTTAAGAAATAGGACTTGATTTTTGTTACAGGTTTCTAATGGCTCCATAGGACTAAGCAATAATTTAGATTGATAAAATCTTATTTTAGTACTAAAAAGTGAGCCTGGCTGCCTATTTCAGTGGGTATAATTTAAACTTTTAAAAAAACTCTGTACTTTTATAAAGATATATTTTATATAACTTAAATAATAATGCTAAAATATCTACTAGGATTTTTTGAGAATGTTATTGCAATATATGTTTGTAGTTTGCACGGACTTTTATGCATAATCCACTTTAAAAGTCCACAGTACATGGTCTGATGGTTGTTTCAGGCTTTCGGACTAACATATCTTCAGATCCTTACCTCTTCAGGCCGTGCAGGGGCTGAGCCGGGTAGATTCGAAACCCAGCTGACATCTAGAAAGCCAGTTTCGACTCCAGTGTTAAGTTATACTGTAGCAGATTATCAACAGACTACAGGCAAGGTAATTGGCTCCTTCCTTTGAGTTCTTTAAGGTCCAGACGGTTGTTGTCTCAAAGAATCTAAATTTTGACAAAAATGTGGTACTCCTTTGAGCAGGGCCCTAATGTGTAGCCTTCAGCCATAAGTGGATCCCTTAGAAGCATGGAGAGAGCTGACCCACACTGCTAAGCCTTCTCTGCTGTATTCAGAACCTTTGCCTAGTTTTTCCGCCCAGGGAAATCTAGGCTCCATTACCTCAGTCCTTCCCACGACGGCACCTTTCCCAAATCACGGACCGTTCGTTCCAGTCCAGAAGCGGAGGAGAGGTTCTCCACCCTCCATCTGGCAGGCTGTGTGCAGTCCTCAGTCTTCCTGCACTTTCCCACCATATTTAAAATAACGGCCTGCATTTCTAAGTAGCTCTGAAATCAGGCTACTGGCAATAGCAGCTTTAAAACGGGAGTTGCTCCCTGGTACCCAGGAGCACAATTCCTGTCCCTTGGCCACGTGAAGAGGCACGTTCCAGACGACGGCTTCAATGAACTCAGCTGGGACTCCAGCCACAGTGCAAGTCTAAAACCTCCAAGATCTATCCAGGTATCACTGCCTATGATGGGAAACTGTGTCAGGGAGGTTAAATGCTCAGATTTTCTGCAAAACAGAAGGTACTGGAGGAAGGATGGTTACCAGAGAGACGTGATCTGCTCTGCCTAGGAAATCTCACCTCTCAGGACAGGAGGAGGAGGAGCAGATGGACAGGTAGTTATGCTCTGCCTTCAGGATGAAACCCATTGCCAGTATCTCTTATTTCTCATTATGGTCTTCAGAAAGGATTTCTCTCTGGGCATTGATTTCACAGAGATCAAGTCTACTTCTCTTGATGGTGATTAAAATTGCCATCTCAAGTTGTAAAAAATGGCTTGTGACTGGGTTTTTCATTTGTACAGAATGCCTTTATCCTGCATCATCCAACATAGTAGTGTTCTTGCCTTTCAGTATATGGAAGAATTGGGGTCACATGTCACTGAAAATAGTGACTGTCAGAGCAAATTCTAGACTGAAGCAAAATTTGCACTGATTATTTGGGTTGCCTTAAAATATTTTAAGTTGTTATTATTCTAAATAGCTTTAAGAACACCCTACTTGTCATGCTATCTTTGTTACTAATACTTAGGAGAATTTAAAGGCACACCAAGCATAGGCTTAAAAACTTTAAATCATGCTTTCAGAAAGTACTTCAATTAGGTCATTCAAGGGTAGGTATATTTTTAAAAATACAGTAATTAAAAAATCACTAAAATCATCCAGTTATTACACTCATGCTGTATCAACACATTATCCTGTTATTACTGGCAGGAAAGTCGCAATAACCAGCATTAAGTGATAAAAGCCATAATCTATTTTTATGATAAAGCTGCTACTATTTGAACTATTTTCTTATTGGAAAGGATAAAAATGTTCTAAGAGCTTATTTTTCTCTTTCCCTTTTTAAAAAGTTTTGCTTAAACACAAGTATTGTAAACACATCTAGAATATTAATAGGATTGTATTAATCTTTTTCTCATAGTAAATGACCATATGTACCCTGTGAAACATTATAGGTATGGTAGGTATGAAAAGGGAAATTAAAATTTCTTCAGTTTCCTAATTGTGTTACGGTGTTAAATAGGTTCACTAACAAAACTTCTCCTTAATGTGAAATATTAAAGGCCCAAAGAAGGCAAAGAACAGGGATTACTGGTTATAAAACACCGAAAACATCCTGTTTTAAAGCAACATAATGAAATTAAAACCTTGGTCACTTGAAAGTTAAAAATATATGGGGAAGAGGCAGTGGAAATTTTGTACTAAGTCTGATTTAACACTAAAGGCTGCATGTGAGTATTTCTGGACACCTGCTGGAAATAGGCATAAAAGGGGTCTTCTTCTGCAGGTAATTGTCTAAAAATGCCAATTGATTTGTGTAGATATCTTGCACTGGCTCTTTCTTTCTACAATTAACCCATTTAACTGAGCCACTGATTACAACATCCAGAGTATGTTACACAGGGACCTGTGGACTGTAAGGAGTTTTTCTTTGATTTTTACAGTACACACATCATGGTTATGCCAGTTCGTTCTCGGATGCATCAGGTGTGTTGTTAAAACTATGCTGGTTACCATGTTTAGTGGAGTAGATCATCAGGCACATTCACTATTGTGTCCCCAAATATTCTCTTTTCCTAAAATCCAATAGAACTGCTCTTTAATTCCTTGAACATTTAATTCCTATTAAGAGAACAAGCATTACTAAATTCCAGAGCATGAAAAGTGCTTAGAGAAAAAGGTTCTCATTTATATTTACATAGTAGATATTACTAGAATTTTTATTTTTTAGAATGAATCTTTTTTTAATAAGGATAAACTTACATTAGAATTAAATGGGTCTAAATATTTGGTTTTTTAGCATTTCCAACTGGAGAAACTTTATTAAAAAGTCTTCACTTTAGAGGACTGTATGATAAAATCTAGACAAGTGTAGGTCTGATTGAAGACATTTCTAATACACTTTTCCATTTTTTGCCCTGGGGAGAATTTTATTTAAAAAAAAGTTCTAACTGTGTATAATGCTATTTAAGACTTCTCATGGTCCAGAGGAGCTGCTGGAAAGGATCAGGCTAAAAAGTGGAATTCCATCAAAAACTCTAATCCAAGTGAGGAAACATTTAAAAAGGAATGAAGGGAGTGGAGTTCAGTCAGCATCTACCGAGTGCCTACTACATGCCAGATGCTGGGACGACTAGGGGTTTGCCAATCTGTAAATTCAGCCACATCCCTCTTTCAACCCTACTTTAGAGCCCAGTAGGGATATATGGAAAGCCCTTGCACTAATGGGTCAGAATACCAGGAAGTATGCCAAAGCTGTACCCGTGCCCCCAACCTAGATCTCTGTGCGGCGCTCTGGGCCTGGGCACTGAGGCGGGTTCCTTCAGTGCAGAGCTCTGCCTGGGTTGTCAAGTAGGGATCAAAGTCCTCAGATTCAAATCCACTGACTCAGCAGCTCCTAGTGGTATCTGCCTGTTTCCTCTAAAGCCAGATTTCTTTCATCTGTTCCTTGACCTGGGACTGAAACCTGTCCTCTACTTTTCCAGAAACAGGTTAATACCCCTGTAGCCTCCAGGCTGGTCTTCCCTTTTGCATCCTGGTTGCCCGACTACTTGGAGCATTAGACACGACCTCCAGAACGCATTTGCTGCCTCTGAACTTTGGTGTAGTCGGAATAGACCAGACGCCACCCCATCTAGATTTGTGACCTCCTCTTTAGTCCATGTCAGCTTCAACGTCCTTCCCTTTCTCTGAACCTCAATTTCCCATGAATCTTATTAACCTGCAACTGTCCCTCTGTTCCCTAGTCATGGTGCTCCTTGAAGGCATTAATTGAGATATAAAAAGGCATGTCTGGGTTAAACAGATGGTTTGCCAGGGCCATTTTGTGTTGCTGAGGATCCTTGGCTGTCCCTGTACTGAATTCACTAGCCCAGAGCCTAGGCTTCAGGTCTGTAGACTCAATACCTACCCAAGGGAGAACACTTACCATTTAGAGGTATCTTCTGTGAAGGAAATCCATATGGAAAGTGACGTAATGTACCCAGGTACTGGCTGAAGAACTGCAGACTCTGACCCAGGAGAGTTATTTGGATGGTTTTAGTCTGCGACAATGGGTTGGCACCATTAAGCTGACACTAAATTTCACTCACACTGAGAGCATCGTCTCACTGAACAGGTTTCCATTAGCTGTTCCTCTTCAGCTGCTCTGTTCCTCCTCTGGTGAGCTCTCACTGTGAACCAGACCCAGCCTAGTTAGGTTACAGAATTCCTAAGCTGCCTGATGGCAGGGATATCTGTGTTTTATTCACTGCTATGTTCCCAGCGTCTACAACAGTGAATGGTCAAATCCTGTTCTTGTGGTAGGCCATGTCTTTTTTTTTTTTTTTTAAAGGTAGCTTCTTTCACTTGCACTTTCATCCACGGAGTATGGATTAGGCAACTATAATACTCATGTAAAGGCCTATCCCTGTTTTCTCAGATATCCAACTTTTGGGTAGAGAATTCATAATGGAATAAAAAAGGACATAAGGACTTTACATAGGATAGTCTCTGGGAATGATCTGAGAACTCAAAACAGAAGCACTGAGATAAAATTCTGTCTAAACAGGCACCTCACGTCCTGTCTCTGCCCTCGCGTGTTTGGGCACCGGCAAACAGAATCCTGAAATAACACAACAGGGAGTAAAAAGTAGATCTTTATCTGATAAAGTATAAAATTAAGAGAATAGGGACACATTACAGTGGTTAAAAGTGCAACTCTCAAGAGGAAACACTGAACGGGGCAGAGTTCCAGCATGATCTATAGGTTAAAGAATTTTTTTAAAAGCTCATATGGAATGCTCAAGCCCAGCTAAAGAAAACTGCTTTTAAAAAGGGCAGTAGGGGGGCACCTGGGTGACTCAGTGGGTTAAAGCCTCTGCCTTCAGCTCAGGTCATGGTCTCAGGGTCCTGGGATCGAGCCCCACATCAGGCTCTCTGCTCAGCGGGGAGCCCGCTTCCTCCTCTCTCTCTGCCTGCCTCTCTGCCTGCTTGTGACCTCTGTCAAATAAATAAAATCTTTAAAAAATAAAAATAAAAAAGGGCAGTAGGGCTTGGAGAGAAGAGGGGACCAGCACAGACCCTGAGTAATTAAAATGGCTGTGGTCCTGGTGTCTGAGTGAATAGACCAGTGAAACAGAAAGAGAACCAACCCCGGTGCAGAGCTAATGCTGTGTGCAGTGTCATATACGATAAATGTAGCATCGCAAACCAGGGAGGACAGGACAGACTGTCTAGTCAATGGTATTATAATAATTGGGTGGCCACCTACGAAGCCTAATTAGGCTGCATCCATAATTTACACCCTACACTGAGGGACACACTCAAAAGGGATCAAAACTTAGATTGAAAAAACCATGAAAGCTCTAAAAGAAACTGTAGGTGAGTTACTGCCGTGCAAGGAAGGTGTTCGAACTATGACTCAAAGTCCGGAAACACTGAGAAACTTAAAAAAAAAAAAAAATAGCATAACGAAAACCATCATAAGTCAAGTCAAAAGACAGACACCAAACTGGAAAAAAAAAAATATTAGAGCTCATCACAAAGGATTACCATCTGTAAGCAGTACTCCTAGGAACGGATAAAAGATCAACAATGCAGTAGAAAAATGGGCAACATTATGAACACAAGTAACTACAGTTGGATGTTAAACATGTTGAAGGGCGTCAACCTCATTTGTATGAAAAATAGAAACTAAAACACAAGGATATGTAATTTTGTATCGATCAGAATGGCAAACATCAAACCCATGTCTACAGAGGTAAGGAGGTGGGTTAGCAGGTGTGGTCTTTAATTGCAGGTGGATATGAGGACCAGTAACTGCCTCTAGGGAGGGAAATATTCTACTATCATGGTCTGTGACTCCAAAATTCTATTTTGGGGACTTTATTCTACAAGTACATATTTATGTATGTGTGAAATGACATATACACAAGGTCTGGAAATCATCCAATGCCCATTAATAGGGGATTGGTTAATTAAACAATTTTACATTCATAGAATGGAATACCAAGCAGTTGCTAAAAAAGAAAACTTTAAGTAAGCTATCTAGGGACGTGGGAAGACTACCATGAAAACTAAAGTGAGTAAAAGCAAATGGTATGTATAGGGTGCCACTCTGGGTAAAAATGAGAGGGAAAAACTAAGACTTTACATTTGTATTTGTTTGTATATGCCTAAAAATGTATGGATGGAAACATAAGGAACCAAGAACCGAGTCACGGGGTGAGGGGTTGGGGGAGATATGCAGTATGGACGAGGGGCCGAGGACAGGAAGACATTCCACTGTATAGCCTTTCCTATTTCTTGGTGTTTGAACCATGCGAATGTATTACCTATTTGAAAAATAAAGGAGATTTAAAAAGCCTTACGACTCTGCGCACATCAGAAGATACTAAAAGTCCCCAGTTTTTAGTGTTATAGTAATAAGCCAACTTAAGTAGTAACACAGATACAGGACATGCTAGCTAAGGACCTGGGGTCAGACTTTTTGGTTTTGTTTAAGATTTTATTTATTTATTTGACAGAGACACAGCGAGAGAGGGAACACAAGCAGGGGGAGTAGGAGAGGGGGAAGCAGGCTTTCCGCCGAGCAGGGATGTGGGGCTCGATCCCAGGATTCTGGGATCATGACCTGAGCTGAAGGCAGATGCTAACAACTGAGCCACCCAGGCGCCCCAGACTTTCTGGTTTTAAACTCTAGCCCCACAACCTAGAGTTTGTGACTACAAACAAGTTAGTCACTACTATCCTCAGTTTTCTTATAAAACGGGCTAGTAATTGTACCTGCCAACTAGTCCCACTAGCGCAGCTGTGAGGGTTAAGGAACCCATAGAAAGCCCTTCCGACAGTGGCTGCAGACGCCTGCCACGGTAAGAAACAAGCTCACCTTCCTTATGTACTTCCTCCATTCTCCACAAGTTATAATCAAATCCTCAGCTCCTGAGGGGGATCATTTCAAAGGGGGGAGGGGAACAGAAAGAAAAATTGCAGAAACATTTATTTAACTCACATTCACTACAGTCTGGTGGGCACAACAACAAATTAGTTGAACAAATGGAGTTCAGAATCAAAGCCGCACCTGTCGACATTAAACCAGAACACTCGCCCACCTGTGTGTGTGGTCTGCATGTGTGATTTTTACCAGAAAATTTCCATGACACCACGTGACCGGTCTGTGCGCTCGCGTGAACAGCTACGGTTTCTGCAGGTACTTCACTCTGCATTCTGCTGAAAGGTTTACTGTAAACTGTTCCCAAACTTCCAGCTGAAGGCAATGCTGATGAAGATCAAAACAGCTGTCCTTCTGGGGTGCCTGGGTGGCTCAGTGGGTTAAGCCTTTGCCTTCGGCTCAAGTCATGGTCTCAGGGTCCTGGGATCGAGCCCCGCATTGGGCTCTCTGCTCAGCGGGGAGCCTGCTTCCTCCTCTCTCTCTGGCTGCCTCTCCGCCTACTTGTGATCTCTGTCTGTCAAATAAATAAATAAAATCTTAAAAAAAATAGCTGTCCTTTCTTATTTACACTGGCACCTGGGTAAAGTTGGAGAATATGGCAGTGTTTCATGGACATACGGGGACTACAAGTATCGAGTAAATTCACAATGTTACAATGTCACAGCATTTGACTTAATCAAATTCCAAAACTGGGAAAACTTTTACTATTCTGTCTGATCTTTGTAATCTAAGAATCAACACAGGAGAAACATTCAAATTTCACCAATTTTAATATATAGTATTTCTAACTTACATAGATGCCACTTAAGGAAAAAAAAAACTCATGCATTGAAGGAAGGAGTTCTTTTCCTTCATTTTCATGACTCTGTCAGCTGGTACAATCATTTCTGTCAGTTATATTATCAAGTGCTGGACTTTGAAATTAGGTGATGAGATAAAGACAAAACGAGAGAGGAATTACCACCCAAGAGTTTGCACAAGGCAGTCAGTTCTCTAGTGTCTCTGCATGACAGAGGGTCTGGGACATAGAAAATCAGGTTATATCACAAAGATCATACAGTATCACCAGGCTACAAAACAGTCCTACACCTATACAATCATTTAAGAAATACACACAGACACAAAAATGTAGGCTCCAGCCCCGACAATCCAATTTGTGGTAAAACCAAGTTAATCAAATTTCAGCTTAAGAATACTTCATTCGTTTATTTTCTCGGTGGTGCAAAAATTCATTAAACACTTGAGAAGAACTTTTAATATTAACCTTTTAGTTTCCTAGAAGTCATTCTAATATTCAACTTTTTCCTAAGCTTGAAACAAATCACAGTAAAGAAAAAAACAAAAAAACAACAATCACTGGAAATGACCAAGGATTTTCTCTGGTTAACAGAATTTAAATAATAGCTTTTTACTGAGGGAACAGTGAAGTAACACTACCAAAAAGATTTTTAAACTTATAGTAATAATAGACAAAGTGCAAAGCTTTCACATTTTCTTAAACTCTGAATAAACACTAAGAATAATTCTTTTTAATTTACCAGCAAGATTACTTATTCACTTTTTAGACAAGTTTACCTTAAGGTTCCCCTCTCCTACACACAATACTTACATCCCTAAAAATGAAGAAATGGAGAAGGCTCCAATCAAGCCTGTTTTATTCAACTTAACAAACAGTCACCACCATCAATAACAACAACAAAAAAACCCTGGGTCTATAAAGGTTGAAATTGGGCAAGAAAATAATTAGTTAGACTTTACACCTTTCAACCATATCCCTCCAAGGGATAACCAAATATTTTTAAAAGAGGGGTGAGCCGACTAAAGACAGTTTAAAATACACCACTAAGTCATGGAGGAACACGCTTCAGACTCTGGCAGGTAAGGTGTGGGTTTAAGAGCACTTACTTCATAAAAGACTGAAGAGTTGAAGGAGAAACTCTAGGTTTTGTACCCGCATTACTTCTCCACAGATGCCTCCTTCCAAGTTAATCACATTCTATCTCTAACAGCTTTTAAACGAATATTTTAAATATTGGAGGATACTTAAATCGCAGCTTTAGAAAATGAGCTTAGGACATGAAGGTCATCTGTTGGTACAAGTCACACAAAGTCCCATTTATATAGGATGAACCAAAATGAAAAGAAAGGTAGGGAGAGGGGAAGCTTCACGAGGCTCGAACTCCTCTACCTGTTTAAATAACCTGCCAAAGAAATTCAGGTTGAGAGAGGATTGCATAGATGTATTCTAAAATAAAATAGATGTATTCTAAAATAAAATCCTTTAAAAAAAAAAAAAGCACGCTTAAAAGGGTAAATTTTATGTATCCTGTTTTAAAGTGGCATTATAAGTCCATATATTCAAATTTTATCAAAGTGAAACTTACATATTTATGCAAATTTTTTTTCTTAAAGTAGACGAAAATTTTCTAAAATTGGAGACAGGACAAAGAAATGCAAAATCAAAAGAAATGGATACATAGTATGGGTTCTAAGTAAAGAACCCTCTGGAGCAGTCCACGACACACATGGGCTGTCTGGCTGGGCAGCTAAGGGAAGGGATAGTACACATTTGCCTTTACTGAAGCAGGGCCTTTAGACCAAAACAAAACAGCAACAACAGCAGCAACTAAAAATCTTAAACTGAAAACCAATGAAACAAGTTGAAGTCCTAGGGATTCTTCAGTCCCTCCGTAACCACACACCGAAAGGACCGTTCATCACACTGACACTTCCGGGTTACAGAAGGTGACATCAGGCAAGGCTAAGAACACAAAAGTCACTGAGAAATTTTTATCACTGGTCCTAATCCGAAGCAACATTTGTTCTCTAGCTCTCCTTTTCCATAACAGACTGCTAACAGTGTTTATTAGGAGGGTCATTTAAATCCGACAACTGGAAATAAAGAACAGAATAAGAAAAAAACAATTCTAAACAAACAGAATAGCAGAATATTCAACAGATGGAAACATGAAATTAAACACAGAATTAGGATAACTTACATGTTTTAAAAGTATATACTTCATTTATAAATATCTCTAATTGACAATCTATTAAAAATCATAAATATTCAAGTGAACATTTGAATTTTCTCTTTAAGAGTTCAGAATTCCTTCTTCAAGTCTTTGAAGATTAGTCTCCTTCTGCTCAATGTCCAAGACCAACAGGCTTCACACAGTCAGATGATGTCTCTAATTAGACATAGAAAAGCCTTTATTACCTACTGTGTTGCAACAAGACTTTGAAATTCTGTAACTCTCTTATACTTGTAGAAAGCCTATAGAGGAAAAAAAGAACGTATCAGTGTAGTTCGTGTGTGTACATATTTCAAATAAGATAGTATTCTATGAGCCATAATTTGAAAGCAAAATTCAAAACAAAAGAATATATACAACACTGACCAATGAAACTTCCACTTTTAAATGCGTGTGCTGTAATTACTTATTAAAGACTGACGAAACACCCAGCTGCAGTTCTTCACTCTTGGGTTAGAAGAGGCAGAAGGAGCCAGGTACTTGTTATCAGTAGATTCTAGATTAATGATGGCAACAGTGATACGAATAACTCATTACAATAAAGAATCTAATCATTTACAAGTGGTCTTATAAGTTCGCTCTGCACATTCCTCTCCAAATGTCCACTCCTTTGTCGTTGTCCCCCAAACACCCTACACATGACCCTTGAACACTATGGGTTTGAACCGTGTGGGGCACTTATACAGATTTTTTTCAATAAAGATAGTACTATAAATGTATTTTCTCTTTTTTTTAAAGATTTTATGTATTTATTTGACAGACAGAGATCACAAGTAGGCAGAAAGGCAGGCAGAGAGAGAGAGGAGGAAGCAGGCTCCCTGCTGAGCAGAGAGCCCGATGCGGGGCTTGATTGATCCCAGGACTCTGGGATCATGACCCGAGCCAAAGGCAGAGGCTTAACCCACTGAGCCACCCAGGTGCCCAAAATGTATTTTCTCTTATGATTTTCTTAACACTTCCTTTTCCCCAGCTTCTTTTGTTTTAGGAATATAGCATATAATACATACAACATATGAAATATGTGCTAAATGACTGTATTATCAGTAAGGCTTTTCCGATCAACAGTAGGCTAATTGTCATTAAGTTCTCGGGGAATCAAAGTTGCATGGAGTTTTGACCACATGGAGGGTAATGTTAGCTCCACAGGGGTAACGACTGTTTATCTACTGCTGAATACCTGTGCCCTACATCCACCACTATTTACAGTGTTAATAATAAGTAATTACTGAACGAGTGAATGAATGCTGGCATGCTTTTGGGCCCAGGCCCAGAAGTAAAACTCTGGAATGGGAATAATAAAAAAACAATTCTATAAACTCAGTTTAATGATAACATACAATTCAGGGTTGATATGATAAAAATCTAATGTTTTTCTTTCTATGACATAAGATGACGTAGTACACAGTGTTAAGCTTCTTTCTTTAGTCTAAGTACTTAATAAACAAGAACTTCTCTTATACCAAGAGGTTAGTGTGTCAGGCAATGTCCTGAGCATATCACACACATATTCTCAATCATTATAAAAAAATTCTACAAAGTAGATAAAATTAACTCTGATGTTCCAATTTGAGGAAAACTGAGACTGAAATAAATTAAGTAATTTTTCAAGGTCACCAGTTCATCCTGTCTCATGATTATATAACCTCTCAAAAAGTCTGTGCTCTCTAGAGTTTCAACCTTTTCTTTTTACTCTTGCAAGTTGGAATTAGCAGAAAATGAATTCTTACTCTAATCCTCAGAATATAAAAGGATCCAGACAGTTTTTAATTATTAGGAAAAACAACAGAATATGATTATTAAACAAATTAAATGTGTAAAATCATATGCTGTACCTTAAAGTACCTACTTAAAAAAACAAAACTGTCAAATATATATGAAGATACGGTAAAAAGACCAAGGCCTAAAACAAAAAAAAGAGAGCCCAGGTAAGCAGCAGGAGGTGTGTTCAGAATGAAAAAGTACACTCAAAGTCTGACTTAGACACAAATGGGAGACGATCAGAGAAGTCAAAGGTGACAGCCAAATTAAGGACAGGAGGACTGATAATCAGAAGATAAAATGAAAAGATCCCATTAACAATTATTAAGAAAAACTGTAACATTCTCTAAGGAAAAAGTAGATGTACAGAATCCATATAAATTAAAAAGTAGGGCTCAACTAAGATTAAAAGGAGAGTGGTAAGTAAATTGTGTAACAGAATATTGGCATATAGTGAAAACAGAGAGTGACAAACCAAGAAACAGACACTTAACTACAGAGAACAAACTGATGGTTCCCAGAGGGGAGCTCAGCGGGGGAGATGGGGGCAAACAGGTGATGGGATGAAGGCAGGCACTTCTGAGGGGCACTAGGTGTTTTGGGGAACTGCTGAATCACTATATTGTACAACTGAATCTAGTATTATGCTCCATGTTAACTATACCGGAATTTAAAACTTAATAAAAAGTAAAATAATGCTTATGTATTTGGAAGTTGCTAAGAAAGTAAACCTTAAAGCTCATCACAAGAAAAAGAATTCTGTAGCTGTGTGAGGGGGATATTAACTAGTCTTACTGTGGTGAAAGTTCCACAATATATATACAAGTATCAATTCATTATGTTGTGCACCTAAAACTAATATGTTACAGTTTCTTCTCAAAAAACAAAATAATGCTTATGAAAAAAATTTAATAATATCAGGAAATGATTATAATACAATGCCAAGTAAAACAGGAGAGTACATAAAAAAATTGCTTTCAACTCTGTTAACACATGCATATATAAACATATACATACAAACACCTAAATATTTTACTTACAAGTCGAGGGAAAATACACATTAAAAATACATTGAATGCTGAAACAGTCTGGGGTGGTGGGGATAGCAGTGATTGTTAATTATTTTTAAATTATACTTTCATACGTCTTTCCAAAATTTTATGATGACCTTGAATTATTTTTGTAACTGGGGGGACAGGGAAAGAGGATTACTTTAAGAGCTTTAATTAGCACATGGATAAACTGGTGTTTGTTTTTCCCTGGAGGGGAAAAAGGAGATTAAATTAGGCTGTACCCTTACTTGTGGTAAGCATTCCACTCCAAGTGTCACTGCCCTTAGGAGAAGAACAGTTTTCACAGACAGTATCTTAAGCACTGAAAAACAAGAGCACCAGCCATCCAGGGGTTTGTAAAGCAGCATCACAGCCCCAGCTGCCATCTTGTAGTTTAGAAAGAGCAGTTACATTGAACCTCAGGTCATCCTCATGTTAACTCTGGAGAAGGCTTTCTATTGCCGTCACTTCACAGCGCGTGGAGGGGAGCCGAGTGACCCGGCCGAGCCCATGTGGACAGCGCACAGCAAGCCCAGGCTTGCAGAACTCCAGCAACGGCTGGCTCCGAGCCCAGTTCTCTGCACTTTCCTTCAGCAGAAGGAAATACCAGACTCTAGATGGAGACCTGAAGCTGATGGGGTTGCCTTTATGGATGTTTTCTTTGAGACTCAGAGACATTCTGAGGAAGTCAACGTCAGTTTTTCTCTCAATTTAATCTTATTTGAATTTAAAATGTGTAAATTGTTGAAAATATTTTTTACTTAAATTTCATTTAAATACTCTAAATTTAATTCAATTTCTCCTGTTTTATCTTATTTACAGGCCTCATAAGTGAGTGAATGAAATTCTTTAGGAAGTACTAATTACTAATGGACACCCTACGTCTAGCTTATGCTTGAAATCCCAACCTACACAGCCAGCTGTAAATACATGGCAACAACAGGAGAAATACACAATGGGGAAGGAACAATTTATTTTTCACTTCACTGCCCCTTTTTAGCTCACAAATGCTTGTTAAGAAAACATAAGAAATAGGGGCGCCTGGGTGGCTCAGTGGGTTAAAGCCTCTGCTTTCGGCTCAGGTCATGGTCTTAGGGTCCTGGGATTGAGCCCCACATTGGGCTCTCTGCTCAGCGGGGAGCCTGCTTCCTCCTCTCTCTCTGCCTGCCTCTCTGCCTACTTGTGATCTCTGCCTGTCAGATAAATAAATAAAATTAAAAAAAAAAAAAAAAGAAAGAAATAATCTCTGTGTCCCTTGGCTCCCCGGCCTTTAAGAAAAACAAAAACAAAAACAATTCTTCCTTGACTTTTTATTTCCCAGGGCAGCATAGTTTTCTCTTATTTTTCTCGGATTCTTTTCCTTCTGTTCTATATTCCTCCGTTAGTTGGTACCATATATATCTCTGCAGGCAAATTCATATTCTGTTTGAAACCATGTGTGGCATAAACCAAAAGTAAACTATAGGTCTATGCAGGGAAAAATGGGGTTAAGAATGAACAGAGGGAAAATGCCTCCTCAGCTTAAAAAATAAAGAGCAGTGTGTGCACACTGGGTGGCTCAGTGTGTTAAGCTTCCAAACCCTGGTTTCAACTCAGGTCATGATGATCTCAGGGTCATGGAATCGAGCCCTGAGATGGGCTGGATGGAATCTGCTTGAGATTCTCTCTCTCCCTCCTCATCTGCCCCTACCCCCTGCTCCTGTGTGCATCTGCTCTGTCTCTCAAATAGATAAAATCTTAAAAAAAAAAAAAAAAAAGCAATGAGGTTTAATCTCTTCTTTCATCACCATCTCAACCAAGCTTTCCTTTCCTGACCTGTTATTGTACTTGACCAAGCTATAACCAGCTGAATATTAGGATATCTTCCCCACAAAATTGAGAAGGTTATCAGAAACACTGCCAATCTCACACTAAATTTTTCCCATGACCTGCTGAGACCCTGGCTTGTGAGTGCAGATACGACGGTATATAACTCTTCCTCTTTGTCGACCAAATAAAGCAAAACAAACTACTTTAGCGAGAAGATGATCTTTGAAGTTTGCTGAAACCAGCAAAACCCAGCAAGTCTTCACTGTGAAAACCATTCTTACCTTCCAAAAGCATTTAAAAGAGCAACTATTTCCTGTCGAGTGAGTTGGAAGCCTTTAGATGGGCTGTTTTCTGGAAGCTTTTGGATTTCTTTTTCAGAGAATAGTATCTTCAGGGCAGTTCCTAAACCCTGAGTCTAAAGAAAATAGATACACATAACAATTAATGTAATAATTACTATAAAGGTTAAAAGGAATATGCAGCTGCTGTGATGAGAGTCACGAAATTTGCGTGAACTGAACTTCTCACCAAAATGTTAAACTGCATAATACAGTTTCTACTTCCTCATACTTATGCATGATAAATTTATCTTAACTGTTAAGGAACCTGAAGAGTTCAACATTTGTTGGACATAAATTACTAAAATGCCTTTTCTTAACCTAGAAAATATCACATTAGGATTACAATATTCAATATGTAACCTTGAAAGCATTCTTGACAGCTCCTAGCAATTCAAAACTTAGAAATTATTAGTGATAACTACACTTAAAAGTTTACCAATTATTAGAACTAGAGAAGATGTATTAAAATAATTAAAATAATTCTGTCTCCTGATTTTTCTGACTTATCATCTTTGTGAGAAAGTAAGATAAATATCAAACAATCCTTTTTACACTGAATACATATAGAGAGAATTGGGCCTTCTTGGCACAACTTTCTTTGTGACTAGATGGTCTTCTTTTGATCACTAAAATAAATTCAGTGATGGAAGCCTGATAATTAAGCCTTTTTATATTTTATTTTTATATGGGTCTACAAAATACTAATATTCTATTTATAACCACCAACTTCAGAAATGAATCTCAAGACTGTACCAATAGAAACAGATACAATAAAGCCAGAATCATTAGCATAGAATAGGGAAAACATTCTTACACATACAATACAGATTTAATATATTCAGCTTTTACATCAATAAAGCAGAAATGCCATTCTTCAGATCTTCTGTTTCAACGAACAGTGAGGGTATTATAATAAAAACTTGCAAGTTCCCAGCAGGAATATTTAAGGTTAGTAATAGTTTTAAAACAGAAAGCAAAACACAAACCTGCAATTTTCCCCATAATCTGCATTTGTCGCATCCAACGCAGTCCATTATACGGGAGATATTCTTGAAATGTAAGCGGAATTCCTCCTAACATGCAGAAAATATTTTTATTCTCATTAGAGTTTTATAAATTAAACTGCACTTGTATGATTTACAAGAAATAATAGTTCTGAAGATTAATGAATGACTTGCGTTTTTCAACAGTCAAGAAGAATAATGATTGGATTTGCATGGCATAACATGGCACTAAAACAACTAGCCACCGAAATTCGTAACATTCATTCCACATGCTGATTCAACGAACTTTTTATTGAGATGCTACTCTGTGCAAAGCAAACCAACAAAGGAATGATGGGAAAAACAAAAGTAAGTGATACATGGTTTTTACTCTTAAGGAACTTTACTGCTGCCCCCATTTGATATCTGCATACAGCCAGTGGTAAACATATCTGTACTATGTTTGACTTATTTTTTTTTTAATTTTTTCTTTTCAGCGTAACAGTATTCATTGTTTTTGCACCACACCCAGTGCTCCATGCAATCCGTGCCCTCTCTAATACCCACCACCTGGTTCCCCCAACCTCCCACCCCCCTTGACTTATTTTTCATGTATTGCTCATGTGAGTCCAAATCAGAAAGTCTGTCTTAGACCAATGATCAGTTTTCATCTTTCTCCTTAGGACCACACACTGTTTGCAACGGGGGCTGCATCAGCACTGGTGATCCCAGAGCTCTATGATGGGTGTGTTCTCTCTGTCCCCTGCATTTGCCAGTAGGCCCCTCCAGGGATGTTTGCTGACTGGATCCTTGCTTCCTATTGGGTGGGGGAAGGCCACTATTCTTCTGCCTGTCAGCAACTGGGCATGGTTTCTAGGACTTTAAGGCCAGTCTCATCTGAAGCTAACAGTAGCTAAGAGTTTCCTCATCTTTTCCATGTGATAAACATAAAAAATAAATTTCATCTTATTGTACTGAGGTAAACATTTTATTGCAAAAAGCTAGAGGATAGCAGCCCAAAACTCTGGCCACCAGAAGCCCTGCCCGGCTGCTTTCTGAGGAAAGGTTCCGAAGAAACAGGACCCTGGCTAAAAGATAATATACAGAACACAGAAGTCCTTTGCTCCTCATTCTCATGTAATTCATGTTCTTGGGAGGAAATGGAAAAAAAGGACTTAAGTTCTCCTTTATACACCTTTGAAAAATAGAAAACACAATTTCCAGCAATTCATAGATGGCAGTTAGTTCTTTTCTCACTCCTATCTTCCTCCTCCACAAAGAGAACCAGAGTTATTTATATAAATACTTAAAAAATAGGAAACATTACAAAAACAAATGTTATAGTCAATACCACAATAGCAATATACCCCAAATAATCATAAAACAAAACCACTTTCCAAAACCAAAATACAGTTGTGACTAAGTTATTTCACTTCAGAAGCACCAAGAGACTCTTACCAGTGGAGGATCACTCAGTGCTCATTTATCAGTGAACATCTAAAACATCTCAGGGCCAGATGTGTTTAAGAATTCCAAATTTTAGAAATATAGTACATGCATTATTTAGGAAACACCCCACCAGAGTGTGCAGCAACACCTAGCAATCATATACATTAACGATTCTGTAGCAAAACACAATATTCAAACAAAGCAGAATTTTTTAAAAAGCACTATAAGTAGTCTTATGTCAGTACAGGTCAGGTTTTGCCGACAAATTAATTGGCACCAAACATAAGAAAATTTTTCAGGTTTTGGAGTTTTCTGGATTTCAGAACTACATATATAAGACCTTGGAGCTACAAACAGAAGACTATTTGCCATTCAATTTCAAATACTTTTATGAACATTTTAAGGCTATAATGTATTCATTGATACGCTGTAAACAAATGAAAACAAAGAGCTCCCAACATGAAGTTTGAAAATGTTCCTAAAATACATTCTCCTTTGATATCGCAGGGTAACTAATTTTTGCCTTTTATGTTAGAGTCTATAAAGACAAAAGTGTAATAGCTCCAGAAACTCGAACATCCCATAAAATATTCCATAAAATAAACTTTAGGAAAATACAGTATTTATTGCCTTCAAAGTGGTGAATAGTCATGATTTTTAAAATCAAAACAATATGCACTGTGATTTTAAAGTAAGAAAACTTTCTCTCCAAATAACACCCTTTAAAAAACCTTTACAAAGGTGCCATATTCACTGGTCGGTTAACAACAGAAGCTTCACTAAGAGGTGGCCAAACTTTCTTAGAAAGGCAAAAGGAATTGAAAAGTCTGGAGAAGGGGCTTTCTGTGCCATTTATAGTAAAACCCAGTCAGACCAACTTCAACGAGGTGGAGGGCTGGGCAAGAAGTGTTTGGATGTAAGGGTTTAAAACACAGCTGGTCAACTGCTCTCTCCTCCCCAACCCCGTCCTCCAATCAAGAACTTTTTACCTTTAATGACTTGGCCCCCTTTTTGTCACCTGCAAACATGGATTTCTCGTCAAAGTGCATGGGAAAGGACCTGATGAAATGACAACACTAGAAGTTACAGACGAAAAATTCACGTACTATGTAGTAGAGCTCTTGCATAATTTTCTATCCCCACAAATATTTACAATTTGTAATTTACTTGTGGGTAAAGTTTAATAACACAGGAAGGTGGCACATAGTTCACATGTAAACTACTCAATAAAAGAGTAAAGCAACATAAGATGGCTTTGTAATTTATAAGACTGTAATGTTTTAAAGAAATTACATGATAAAAATCATCAAAAACTGAATTTAAAAGCAATTTATGTGAAAAATGTGCAACACTGTTAAAAAGATGTTTTAAGTTTTAATGCATAATTTGAACACTTTTTTTAAAAGGTTTTATTTATTTGAAAGAGAAAGAGAGCAAGTACACCAGCATGGGGGAAGGGCAGAGGGAGAGGGAGAGGCAGACTCTCCTGCCAAGAAGGGAGCCCGACGCCAGACTCAATCCCCAGGACCCAAGGACCCCAGCATTAGGACCTGAGCCGAAGGCAGACTCCTAACCAACTGAGCCACCCAGGCATCTCTAAACACTTCTTAATCCAACTTTGGTTCATGCTCATTTTAACAACCAGTGAACTGAAATTTTATAGAGAGCATTTTTTAAGAAGAGGTATATTCTAGAAGGTAAAGCTAATATTCTCTTAGGTATCTACTTTCATGTGGATAGCACCATCTGAATTTAAACAGCAACTGAGGGTTTTGGAGGGGAGGGTGGTGGTGGTTGGGTGAGCCTGATGGTGGGTATTACGGAGGGCACGTATTGCATGGAGCACTGGGTGTGGTACATAAACAATGAATCTTGGAACACTGAAAGAAAAAGTTAAATTTTTAAAAATTGGTTAAAAAAAACCCCATTAAAATCACATTAAGCTTTGGGGCACCTGGATGGCGCAGTCAGTTAAGAATCCTGCTCTTGGTTTTGGCTCAGGTCATGATCTAAGGGTCGTGGGATCGAGCCCCGAGTTGGGCTCTGCAATCTGCCTAGAGTCTGCTTAAGACTCTCTCTCTCTCTCTTTCCCTCTCACTTGCTGACGTCCCTTTCCCTCACTTGCTCTAAGATAAATAAATCTTCAAAATAAAATAAAATAGCATTAAACTTTAATACTACATAAAACTCCAAGTTCTGTTTGAAAATAGAGCCGATTCTGAAGTATGACTAGGCTGTTCTCCCATTCTACTAACCATGTTCCTTCTCAGTTCTAATTTTCCCTCTTCCTAACTTTTCGGAGTCAGTTTCCATTTTATTTCAAGCACTACCTCATTCCTATTCAGAGTGCAGAATTTCAGATCATGGATACCCAATTCTTACTTTGTATCTTGGAAGATATTCAGTAGAAGCGTTTTTGTGTCAGCATCTTCTTCTACATTTCCAGTGTAAAGATCAACAATTGAGCGCTCAAAATACGGGGCCACCTTTGATAAAGCGCGAAGCTCAATTAAGTATAAGAAGTATAGATTCTTAAGCCTTCTTGGACCTTCTCCCTTAGTTTCCACAGGGTCAAAGCGGCGTTTAAATTCCTTCATATTAGGTCCCCAGCTAGGTTTACCCCAGGTTTCTAAAGAGAAAATGAATACAAAATACAGCTTTAATAAATAGGATTTTTTTCTCTAGAGAATATATATACCCCCCTCCAAGAATTTTTACACTAATGGAAGGCAAGGTTTGTAGATAAAAATGTGATTACCTTCCAAAAGATAATTTGCACACAGATGTAAATTGATACTAGCATGAAGTCCAGATATAAGCTTATAGAAGACTCTCTTCTCCAGGCACAAACCTATTCAGAAAAATATTGAAAAGAAATCACATCCATTTAGATAACGGAAATACTGAATCAAGAAGATTCAGTACACACGCTTATTTTTAAAGTTAAGTTTCAAGGACATTAAAAATAATCAAGGAATAATATAAAATTATTAGATCAAGATGCTCTCCCTAGAAGATAAAATAAGATTCTGACTTTAGAATGGAGTTATGACTATGATAACTTAATGCAGAATGAGGCAGAAAGTGGGGCTCTGGAGGTCAAAGCACTATGGATGTACCTGGCAAGCTCCCATGCTACCTAGAAGGCAAGAGCACAGATTTTTCATGGGTTTGGCTAAACTAAAGCAAATGTAATTCAAAGTCACTGCTCTGGCTTAACAATGGCTGTTTCTCCCCTTCCCTTCCCTAGAGATGTTCTTTCTGTGAACCTACTGGATCATGGAGGAAGAAGAGACTGCATTCCATTTCTCCTCTTCCTCCAGATTCTTTAGTGTGTCTTACTAATCCTCTGCCCTAGAATTCTCCAGGTCTGTTTAACTGTATGGTCCACTTCTAAGGAGCTCAAACCTGGAAAAGAGTCATCTAGGAATTTTAACTGATAAACAATATATGTTGACTATCTACCATGTGAACAGAATCATATCAGATAGAGTGATGGAATATGATAGAAAATTCTTTTATGTAGACTTCTTAAGCCTTTTGCTCAAATGGAGGTCAAGATAATTCCACTCTCCTATCCTACCTCTGCCTCAATTTTAAAAGATTTTTTCTTATTATAAGAGTAATATGCATTATAAATGTACTTAATAACACTAAATTTAAGATGGTTAAGATGGTAAATTTTACATTATATATATTTTACCATAATAAAAACAGAAAAAAAAATTCTAGAAAAGATTCTTTATAGATAATTTTTTAAATAAAGAAAAACGCAAAGACCTAAGTTTTAAGAATCCACTAAATTCAAAGCAATTGGCGATTTCCTTCCCTTACCATCCAACAGCATTTTTTGGCTTATGTCATTTTTTTTAACTACTCCTGAGGAAAATGGGCTTCAATAGTGGGAAGGAACTAAGAAATAACCTCATTTATAAGCTGAGGGATTTTTAAAATGTAAGAGTATATAGTTGGCTTACTTTGCATTTTTTCCCAAGATCTTTTAGATCTTCAATTTACTCTATGTTCTGCCCTATATGGCTCTGAAGCAAGTATTTTCTCGTAGGAAAAAATAATTCTTTTGAGATTTCATTCTCTAATTCAGAATTCTTGCTAGAATATTCCCATCTTTACAAATGAAGACCAAAAAGTAAAAATTAAGTTCTTTTTTGCAGCTTCTTCTAAAAGTATATGGGCAATTTTGAATGTTCGGGGTGCAAGGGATACAACCATCATGAACAAGTTAGATAAAATATTAGTTACTGACTTTTCTTCTAGTAAAACTTTCAGTCAAATCTGTTGCCAAACAGCAAAATGATCAAATCTGAAGTTCACTTCCTCTTCCTTCTAAGCAGTGCTTACACCCAGTAAGACATCTAAAGACCAGAGAAGGAAAAACAGACAAAGCAAAGCTTGTGAAGATTCATATGCTTAGAATAAGAACATAAACCAGGAGCCATTCTCCTCTGTAAAGCCCTCAAAGCACTGTACTTGAAATGGGGATGGATAAGTGAGAGTGAGGAGTAGAAAGGTACTTCCGTAAACTGAAAATTAGGTAACTTCAAGCAAAATGGTAAACATAAAACATGTGCCAATTGAGTGTACAAATAAGACCCATAATACAGTCGGCAGGAAAATGCTGGACGCCTTTTCCCTGCATGATGTAGTCCAACTGCAGAAGTCCTGACGGAAGTGTTAAATAACATAGTAGGCAACACAGTAAGGTTACGTAAAATGATTTTCCATCATACTCCTGCACTCCATCTGATACGATTCTGCTCATATAGAACAGTCAATGTACATTGCTTACTGGTTGAAATTCCTGGATGGCTGTTAAGTAACATCTGCAAGAACTGATTTACAAAGTAAAAATTTACCAGCTTCTATTTCTTTTTTTTTTCCTGATTAATATTTTTTTATTATGTTTGTCACCACACAATACATCACTAGTTTCTGATGTAGTGTTCCATGATCCGTTGTTTGTGTATAACACTCAGTGTTCATCATAACACACGCCCTCCTATTACCCATCAGGAGGGCACCCATATCTCTACCCTCCTCCCCTCTGAAACCCTCAGATCATTTCCCAGAGTCCATAATCTCTCATCTCCCCCTCTGATTCCTGCCCCCTTCAGTTTTCCCTCCCTTCCTCTAATGTCCTCTGCGCTATTCCTTATGTTCTACAGATGCGTGAAAGCACATAAAATTGTCTTTCTCTGTCTGACTTGTTTCACTTGGTATAATCCCCTCCAGTTCCATCCATATTGATGCAAATGGTCATCCTTTCTGATGGCTGAGTAATATTCCTTTGTTTATATGAACCACATCATCTTTATCCATTCATCTGTTGAAGGGCATCTCGGCTCCTTCTACAGTTTGGCTATTATGGACACTGTTGTATGAACATTGGGGTGCATGTGCCCCTTCTTTTCACTACATCTATATCCTTGGTATAAATACCCAGTAGTGCAATTGCTGGGTCATAGGGTGGTTCTATTTTTAACTTTTTGAGGAACCTCCATACTATTTGCCAAAGTGACTGTACCAGTTTGCATTCCCACCAACAGTGTAAGAGGGTTCCCCTTTCTCCACATCCTCTCCAACATTTGTTGTTTCCTGCCTTGTTCATTTTTGCCATTCTAAGTGGTGCATGGTGGTATCTCAATGTGGTTTTGATTTGAATTTCCCTGATGGCTAATGATATTGAATATTTTTTCATGTGTCTGTTAGCCATTTGTATGTCTTCTTTGGAGAAGTGTCTGTTCATGTCTTCTGCCCATTTTCTGACTTGATTATTTGTTTTTCAGGTGTTGAGTTTCAGAAGTTCTTTATATCAGCTTCTATTTCTAACAATACAGAGCAAATTCAGCTATACAATTTAGAGAGTGGGTCTCTTTCTTTTAGATATAATTTCATTCAAATTTACCTTCATCAAGTGATGTATAAGACACTGACTATAATTTTTTCTCTCACAAAAGGGCTAGATTTACTGTAATAAGATTATGTGACATTTGGACACTGTGTAGGTAAGATGGTTGGCAATTGTCAGTTTCATGGCCCAGATGAGGAAACAATCTCAGAAAAGTTGAGTCAGTTGCCTATAAAAATAGGAATGTTCTCTGAAACCATATAACAATATTCAGGGGTTCCCAACAGTAGGATAGTACAAAAGTGGTTAATACAGAATACCCTAGAATTCATTATTGCCCATACATTTCACTTCCATCTTCCACTATCAATATTCGGAGTCTCTCACCACCTCTTTTAAGCTAAATACTACTTTTCACAATTTGTGTCTTTATAAGACAGCTAATGGAACAAAGTTAAGAATTGTCTTCCCCATGGGCCATTTATCAATATCACTCCTAGTATTAGTGGCATATCAATAACATTCACCTTAAAAATGGCCAATATATGTAGACACTTCATTAAAAACAAAGAGAAATTATGTTCACAAGTTGACATCACCAATTAGCAAACATAAAATAGAATTAAGTACTTAGTTTTACTCTGTAGAGTTCCTATAAGGTTATGATCTCCTGTATCATTCAACTTGTTTATCTTTCATTAATACTTTTTAACTTTTGTTTTCATAAATGAATGGCAATTTGGTAATTTTTTAAAAAGCATCATATATCCAGTTTTTTAACAAAGCTATTAAAATCCTAGAATGTTTCGGCTTTCCATTAATAGCATTCGTATTTTCAACACTAGAAAACATAAGAATGCAAAGTATCTACTGGGGTCTATATTGCTTTATCCTTTAATTAGACAAGTTTAGGCTATATTAACATGTGTAAACATTGTTTAAAATCTTCTGAAATCAAATTTACTTTCCCTCAACTTCATATATATATAAATTTTATATATAATTATATAAAATATATAAAATACATAAATATATAAATAAAATATATGTTATATATGATTTCATATATATATATACATATACATATACATATACATACATACATACATATATATATATATATATAGTACTTTCTTCCAAAAAGAAGGTCTCTGTTTACAAAGTAGGTTTGCATAATGGTTACTAGAAAGCAGTGTGGATGAGTGGTATATACAGAATTAATTTTCATACAGAATCAAAATAACACTGAGAAGCCAGTTACAAAAACCTGAGGAAAGTATTGGTCCTGTGTATTTCCCTAATGCTGATTATTCTTGGCTGAGCAACAGCCTCAAAATTTTTAAGCCATTGTATCCTACAATACAGTAACTTAAAATACATTATTCTCTTTCAAGCACTGTTACAATTAGTTGTCTAGGTAATGAATCCTGAACTTACAAAAATATATTAAATTAATCCATACATTTTTAACAAGAATCCAATAAATTTAAAATGCAGACATATAAGTTTACCTTCCAGCCACGTGTAGAATGATTCTCCTTTAAAAACAAACAAACAAAAAACCAACACACACACACACACACACACACACACACACAGATTTGGGTTAAAATATTTTAAATAGTCATTTACAAATTAGAATAAATTAAGTATATAAAATATTTCCTATGACTGACTAACGAGTATCTCCAGAAGTGGCCACTGCTTCATGTGAAATAGAAAAATAGGGATATGGTTCTAGGAAATAAAGCCCTGAAGTAATCTGAGTAACTTTGGACAATTTTCTTATAAATGATATTTAACTAAACAAAAATTTTAAGAAACATTTCAATCAAAATATTATGTAAATCTTATTCATTAGAAGGATTAAATATCCATAAGTATGGAAGGTTAAAAATCTTAAATTTGCTTTTGATAACAACCGTAGAACTCCTCTCCTTAAAAATTCTGGAAAAAACAAAGTGAATTATAATACAAAAATCAAATTAGTAATTATTCCATTGGTTCCCTGAGTAGTAAAGCTATGTATATTTCCTCAATTATCTAAGACTACTAAATTTCAAGGAATATTTTTAAAATCCCTTAATTTTCAAAATAATTGTTCAGAAAAGTCAATGACTAGAATACAGAGGGATCTGACTTAGCTGTGTACTAATGCTAAAAGATCTATTTCTAGATCAGTACTATTCTGAGAGGAACAAAAATGGCAGTCAATACAGATCAAAATGGTTAATGCACTTTGTAAGTTACCTACTTCTGTTTTAAGAAAAGCAAAGCATAAGAAAAACTCAACAAATAGACGACTGAGCAAGGATTCTAGGGGATAAACTAGATGGTGAGGAATTGCTTTGTTTCCCGAGACTCTTCACACTTTGCAAAACTACACAAACATTTTCCCACATACTAATTCACTCAACAAACTCTTCCTAAGGGCCAAGATCATGATCTGACTTGTTTACTCGAGAAACCCCAAATGCTATCAGGAAAAGTTGAGCCCCCAAGTCCTCAATAATCTGGCCTCCCATCCTGCTAACTTAAACTACTCCTACATAAAGTTTTCCCTACTGCTAACAGGGTCTCCTCAAATATGCTTGATTCTTCCCTTTCCAACTCCTTGGGCCATGCCATTTTCTCCGCATGGCACACAGGATCCAATTCTACCAGACTACATCTGTCCCATTACTCAAAACTCATCTCAAATATCACTTCCTGTAATAAGCTTTCCAGATCCCTCCAGAGAGACAGGCTCTGTCCCGCCTCTGAAGAGCTCTACCACCTACGGCTTATGTAGTCTGTATGTGCAGCACTTCCTGTCACCATGCACAGTGCTTATCACTCCTGCTACATACTGTCAGCTCCTGGAGCGAAGGCGTAATGTTTTACACATATTTCTATCCTGCGCAATGCCCATCACTGTGTCCCTGAACACAGATAAGTAAACACCCACTTGAAATAGTAATTTTGATGTCTTGGGCAATTTATTATGACATTCATCTGGTATCCTTGAAAAACCAACTGTTGATAAATCACTATTCACCAGATTAAGTATTATAACAACAGATTATAAATTACAAAGTCAGGAAGAAAATAAAGTCACAAGACAAATTATCTGGTAAAACTATCTTAACTTCTCTCCATTTCTTCAGAACATATTTTAGTAGATTATAATAGCCAGAGAATTGGGAAGTTGAAATGTCATCCTGGTTTCTATATGAAACACTTCAGCAAAAGGGAATTCATAGTTTTTTTAAACATAGGGTAAATTTACATTATAAAATCTTTTTGTCACCATTTGTTGGTAGTTATTTCTGAAAAAATAGGATAAACATTTTCTTTTGAATTGAATAGAGGAAAAATCAAATTTTGATCATGAAAAACATTTCCTCTACACTTGAGTCATACCCAGACATAAGAATTTTAACTCACCATCATCTTCTCCTGAAAAAGAAAACAATAAACAGGATTTTAGAAACTGTCCTCCACAGTTCAGATTCCAATTCTATTTACTTTAAAATGAGATTAAAACTTACTATGTGTTGAACTATTAGTTATACTACAGACTGTGGTCAGGGTGTAGTCACCTTGCAAATGAGACTTCTTAATAAGAATACAGGCCCAAAGCACAATATCTTCATATGTCTTATACAGTAAATAATACCAGAAAAAATAAAAAACTACTCGTAAAGATCACTAGAGTCAGTACTTAACAAATGGACACAGGCACTCCTTTCATCATTGTACACACAACTCCTCTTCTCTTCCAAGTTACTGCTCCTCCACCTACACGCACTTTAAGAAAAGTATTTCCCAAACTGGGATCAGTGAAACCCTCACCGGGGTGCCACGGAGCTGCCCACACAGCGGGAAGGAGCCAGAGGTTGGGCTGCGGGGAGCCACAGCAGCTCTGCCTTTACCGGCTTTGGATGTGGGATTCTGGGCCCAGGTTTCCTTTCTGGAAAGAAAGGTCCCCTCTTTCAAAAGCTGTGGGAGAGGCGGCCAGAGAGCCTCACCATTCAGCTCGGCAGGAGCGGCACGGCCAGGCTGAGAGGCTGAAGAGCCAGGAGCCAACACCGGCCGCCCCGGTGGGAACCGTGCGCAGACAGCATGGACCCGAGCGCCCTGATTGCTGCATGGACCTCTCACCTGCAACCAGGACCCCCGTCCTCCCCTCACCCGGTCTCCGTCTCCCTTCTTTCTTAGGACGGGTTTCCTCCCCCTCTCTGCCTCTGTCTTTTCCTAAGTGCTGCTCTCCTTCCTCTCATCTTTCCAGTGGTCTCACATCTGTAATTCGTCACAACATGGATGTGAGGGGTTTCTTGGCATGGGATGGTTTCGTTAAATTAACTATATGCGCTGCTTTAAAAGGAAGTGATCATATTATTCAGCCATAAAAAAAGAAGGAAATTCTGCCACTCGCAAGCACATCGATGGACTCTGAGGACCTCATGCGGAGGGAAGTCAGCCAGAGAAGGACAGATACTGTGCTCTCTTGCACGTGGAATCTAAAAACAAAACCAAACCCCCAAGCTCATAGATCCAAAGAACAGATGGGTGGTTGCCAGAGGCAGGCAGTGGGGAGTGGGCAAGACATGTAAAGGGTGTCAAAAGGTACCAGCTTGTAAGTCCTGGGACAGTCACGTACAGCTTGTCAACTACAGGTAATAACACTGTATTTGAAAGTTATAAATTCTCATCACAAAAATAAAAATTCTGTAATTATGGTCACAGAGGTTAACTAGATTTACTGTGATCATTCTGCAATATACACAAATATCTAAACATTATACAGAACACCTGAAACTAACGTGATGTTGTATGTTAATTACACCTCTATTTTAAAAAAATATTTTAACTCCAATCCTAAAAATAAAAAACAAACAAAAACGAATGAAAAACCACAAGTGATCATAAAAAAGACCTGAAGAATACCTACCAAATTCTGTACTATGGAACAGAGGTGTGGGGGCAGGGCAAGGGAGCTTTCTCTTTTTACTTTATATAACTTTTGTGTTGTTTCCATTTTTATAAGTGTGTGTGTGTGTGTGGTTTCCATTTTTATAAGTTATAAGGGTAAAACAGGCAAAGGATAAGAAACCATGCACACCTTTTTCATGATCCAATTCCCTTTTCCAGCAGTATCAGAATGATTTGCGGAAGAACATTTGCTACATTATAAGACAGCATCTGAAGGCAGTCCCTTCGGTTAGCCTTTCTGTGTCTCTTTGGGTCTCAGAAATGTCTTAAAGATACAACTAGACCAAGGAATTCAAGTTCTTAAATCAGTCCTGGTCTAAAGAAAACAAGAGAATGGCAAGTCAATGACAGGGATGCTCCCAGGGTTTGGTTCCTTGCTGACAACAGACTGAGTATGTGCCCAGTAAGTTTGATTAACCTCCAAAAATGCTGTCCCATAGAAATATAATACCAGCCACATATATAATTTCATTTTTTTTCTAAGGCGAATTTCTAGTAAAATTTTGCCTAGGATCCACGTTTTAAAAAGTAAAAAGCAGACGTGCTACAAGGCAATAATCGTACACTGTGTGAGGCCACAGCTATCAAAACAATAGAATTCTGTTTAATGACAAAAATATTTTGCACTGCTTCAGTTCTCAAATTTAAACAAATTCAGTGAAATATGTCAAGTTTGGTTCTGCGCCGGCCATACTGCATGTGCTCAACAGCCCAGCGGGGCAAGCAGGGACCCTGCCGGAAAGCATTCTGCTGCGGGCGTCACGAGTATCTGAACAACTCTGCATCCTTAGCACTCAGACATGGTGCGTAGACCAGCCAGCACGCTGGGCATCGCCTGGGAGCTCTTAGAATCCTGTGCCTCCCTCAAGACCCACAGAATCAGAACCTGTAGCTCAACAAGGCTCTGCGGTAATTTATATGCACACTCAAGTCTGAGAAGCACGTTGGGAGCCACTGGTTCTCAAAGGTGCCTGCGTACTGGAATCATCTGGATGGTTAAAAATATAAACAAACAAAAAACCACAAAAAAACCACCACCACCACTTGGGTCTAATCCCACAGATTTTTAAGAGTTCCCTGGGAAGCCTCTGTTACATGGATTACTCATATTTTTTGATTTATTTACCATGAAACTCCTCTTTTATTTAGGGCCTGACACATACCAGGCACTCAATAAATGCCCGCAATTACATAAAACATGCAGAAAACGATACTGAACTGTGAACTAAACTTTTACTTTTGATCAAATTAAAGAAAATGTAAAATAGCTGAAAACTTACTCAGTTTAAGTTTAGGTACAAAGAAATTTTGAAAATAATCTCTAAAAGCATGGAAATGTATGAAAAACCCACCTCGGCTAGGTGCCAGAGGATTTAAAGGACGATAAACAGATCGAGGCCTGAAAAAGCAAGTGTGAAACTCAAACATAAAATGGTTTACATAATTTTCTTCCCAACAGAATCCTACTCCCCTTCCTCTACCCTCCCTTTAGCCATTCCTCCTCCTTCCCCTACCCCCTCCAGTTACTTGAAACAGTTTTCCTCGTAGATGCTGTTCCACACTCTCCACGCAGAGGACCCTTTATAGCCGGTGTAACGCTCTGGGTTCAGCAACAGGTCTACATACTGAGCAGCTGGAGATCGCTCATCTGAACAAGAAACAATTCATCAAAACCATCCATAGGTCACCAGTTGTCTGAAATGTAACACTGTAATGCAAACATAACTGGGAGGGGCGAAGGCAGGGGAGAGGTAGCAAGAACATGAAGTAGACTTGGCCCGGAGTGCAGAGCCCCATGCGGGGTCTCATGCCATGACCCCGAAATCACAACCTGAGCCAGAACCAAGAGTCGGACACTTCAATGACTAAGCACCCCGGGCGCCCCTAAATAACTATTTTCTGTGTTGAAATCCAAATGAGTTTTTACTAGTTTTTCACTATTTGGACATTTTAATAGAGGTCTCTAAAGGATACAAAAGATAAAGAAAATGGTCTTAATTATCAAGGCTTACATTCTGGATAGAAAAGGGAAATACATGCTTTCATACCTTTAGAAAGAGTGTAACGATCATGCTTCCCACATTGGTGATCATAATATCATAATACATGGAAACGAAAGAGCTATCTGTGTTGACACAGAGGTACTCCTTTATTTGTATGCGTCTTACCTTTTCATGTCATGAGATTAAATCAATAGTATGTAGGCACCTGACTTAAAACAGGGCCAATATGGCCATTCAAATATGGTCCCTCATTTTTTCATTACTAATAGTGTATTTTCCTTTTAACTAACAATATTCATTGAGCATTCAGTGACCATAACTGAGATTATCCATAACTGTAAGAGGAAAACGGCATCCTGATCCATACCATCCAAGAACTACTTGGTACTTCTGTAGGAAGTAGGAAGAACACGAAGAAAAGAGATCTAACTTACAGACAAAAGAAACATGAACTGAAGAATATTGGCTCTATTTCTGCCCTAACATTATATAGATATTCCACTATATAAGTTAAGGCACAGAAAATAGGTAATTTACAGATGGATTTACAGAAACTGTCCAAGGACATGGACTGGTTCAAAAGTTAAAAATGGTAATTTTAAAAAAATATTCATTACAAAAAAGAAAGATTCAAATTATGGAGTGTGGCTTTTAAAGTTCAAACAGAAGTTTTACAATTCACTAGTTTCTGTTATATATTTTTAATTTCTCTGAGGTGGTCATGATTAAGCTCATTTGCAAAACTGATCTGATTATTTACAAATACTAAACCTACCAGAAGCATATATATTCATTGAGATATGTGTGTACACATGTATAAAGAATGTGTGTGTGCATGTAAGTTTACACATATGCGGGGTCATCTATGAATGTACACCTCAGGCTAATATCAACCCAACAAAAGCAACTAAACAACCAATAAAGAAAAACAACAAGATTAAGATATTAAACTACATTTTAAATCATTATACCTTAAGGAAGTGAAAATCACAAGAGTAAAATCAAGTATATCAATGTTTAACTTAAAACTTATATTCTCAATGTCCTTAATGTATATTCCCTTAATTGAATCAAAAGTGCATTGTTGGTTTAAGTGGTTCTTAAAAATTTTAATACTTTTTCAAATCATGAAAGGCAGGTCTTGTTAATTTATAGAAGGGATTAGCAAACTATGACCCATAGTCCAAATCTGGTCTGTATACTTTTTGTAAAGAAAGTTTTATGGGAACATAAGCCACATTCATTTACTGCTTTCACACAATTATGGCACAGCTGAGTAGTTGAAAGAGAAACCGTACCGTCCACGAAGTCTAAACTTTTTACTATCTGTCCATTTACAGAAGAAAATGTTTTTCAAGCCCTGACCTACACTGACAAGAACTTCATGGCAACTAGATGGGGAAGTTGGGGTGAGGGAGCATCCACAGGTTGAGTTCCCCTACAAACACACCAGTGCTGGTACCCCCATCCTTCCCCTGGGGCCACCTGTGACACAATTTTAATTAGCCTGTTCAGAAACTACAACTTCTTTCCATTTGCACGGCAGTAGCATTCATTTGGATAATGCTCTTTGGACCCCTAATATGTCTTCCTCCTCCCCAAAGCTTTCTCTTCTTGCTCCCTTTGTAAAGCTCTTCCCAAACTGTTCCATCTGACCGTGCTAACCATTCCCAAAGGATTCGAAGAATGTCCACGGAATCAAAATACCTAATTCTGGGAATTCATCAATTTCAACTAATGCTTTTTCTTCCTTTTCAAGTATACCTTTTTTCCCCAAATGAATTTTCCTTTCATGGTCACTTAATTGCGTATTAGTGTTAGGAGGCTAAATGGTATGTTCGAGGATGAGAGCCAGTCCTCCACACCTCCTAACCCAAATATCTCTTCAAACATACCACAGGTCAATTTAGCGTGCAGTCTTTTTGTTTATGGACACAGATAAAAAATACTGCTGTAGACTCAGGATTGAGCCTCCCACCCTCCATCACCAACTCTAACGTTGACTGCTAGTAATGCATTATTAAAATGCATTATAAAATATTCAGGTGAGGAGAACCTATAGTTTATAAAGCACCCAAGTAATTCTGGCACACAGCCAGATTTGGAAACTGCCTTAGACAATACTTTAAATTTATTAATGAACTTTTTTTTTAATTTTTAAAGGTTTTTATTATTTGACACAGAGATAGAGAGTACAAGTAGGCAGAGCAGAAGGCAGAGGGAGAGGGAGAAGCAGGCTCTCTACTGAGCAGGGAGCCTGATATGGCGCTCGATCCCAGGACCCTGAGATCATGACCTGAGCAGACGGCAGCAGCTTAACTGGCTGAGCCACCCAGGCACCCCTAATGAACACGTTTTAAGGGAAAATGTAAAAGTAAAAATCTGTCATACTATATAGGTTATTTATGAACCAACAACTTCATTCAGCAAACATTTATTGAGCAAGTAACCAAGTCCAGGCACTATTCTAGGCACTAGGGATAAAGTAGTGAACTTGAAAGACAAAGCCTCAGGCGGCTGACAATCTAGTTGGAGCAGACGCACAATAAACAGATTAACTAAATACCTGCCCTGCACTCTCTGGCCATTCTTCGTACTCAGAGCGGGCAGCAGTGTCAACACTCACACTGAGAGTGGTTGCCGTTTTCTAGAGGCGGGTGACAGCAGGCTTCTCTGATGAGGTGACATTTGAGCAGAAACCCGAAGCAGAAGAGGCCACGCATAGAGACAACAGCGACAACAACAAAACAGGAGTAGGGAAAGGAGCTTACCTTAAACTGTTAAATTATTTAAAAATCTACTATTTGATCTATAAGGGTCATCTTCTCTTCAAATAAAGACAAAACAAAAACAAAATGGAGAACAGGAGTGTAGAGATATATTCCAATAAACTGGGGTGAATATTCTTTAGATTGTTTTAATCAAAAGGTTTTACATAACTGAAATAACTAGATGATGACTCTAAAGCTACTCTGAAGTGTTTTTAAAAATTATATATATAAATCGTCGGGACATACACAAACATGACCACCCAGAGAAGTAGCGGTAATCCAACCAGTAAAATTGTTTATAGGCTTCAGGACTACACATAATATAAAAATTACTAATTTAAATTATGAAATCCTAAATTCTTGTAGGACATCTCTTCCATTTTTATAATATAAGAAGCTAATGTTCAAAAATTAGTTAACACTATATTGATGAGAGGTGACTGAGTACATCATTGCTCATACCAAGTGATCTCTGGAATGGAGTAGCATTTTTTGTTAAATACCTATAAAAGAAATATATACTGACATTATTTACTATAAGAAATATTCACAGAAATGATTTTTAATTTAAAAATCTGTTAATTACGCACTAAAAAATTTTTATCTTAATCAAAAAATAGGTAAAATGGTAAGCTGGCAAGAAGTGACTGTGAGTGTTGAACACTAAGCATAATTAGAATGACAACCGGAGAACAAATGAAAGAGTAAGCAGTGCTGTCAATCCTTAACCTAGGTACAACAGCTTGCTTTGATGAAACATTTGCCAATTCTAAATATCATAACAGGACTATTTTATTAATTTCCCATTATTCTATCAAGACACCCAAAGAAATTTTTTTTCAGATCTCTTAAAAATATTCTTGCAGGAGGCAGGTGCAGTTCCTGGGTGCCTCAGCTGGTTAGGCATCTACCTTCGGCTTAGGTCATGATCTCAGGGTCTGTCCTGTGACAGGCTCCCTGCTCACCTGGGTGTGGGAGTGGGGTGGGGGTCTACTTCTCTTTCTCTCTCTGCTGCTCCCCCTGCTGTGCCCTCTCTGTCAACTAAAGAAAATCTTTAAAAAAAAAAAAAAAAAATCCTTGCTGGGATTGCCTAGGCAGCTCAGTTGGTTGAGTGTGTGACTCTTAAAAAAATTTTTTTTTAAAGATTTTATTTATTTATTTGACAGACAGAGATCACAAGTAGGCAGAAAGGCAGGCAGAGAGAGAGAGGAAGAAGCAGGCTCCCCGTTGAGCAGAGAGCCCGATGTTGAGCAGAGGGCCTGATGCGGGGCTCGATCCCAGAACCCCGGGATCATGACCTGAGGTGAAGGCAGAGGCTTTAACCCACTGAGCCACCCAGGTGCCTGAATGTGTGACTCTTGATTGAGGCTCAGATCATGATCTTTGGGTGGTTAGATCAAGTCTTGAGTCAGGCTCCATGCTCAGCCCGGAGACTGCTTGAGTTCTTGCTTTCCCTCCCCCTTTGCCCCTCCCGGCTGCTCACATTCGATAGATAGATACATACATACATACATTCATAAATAAAATCTTTGAAAAACAAAAAAATGTCCTTGCTGAAACCCTAGAAGCCCTGGTGATATCATTGCACCTCCTGGCAACCTCTCCATCTGCTGTGCTATTGTAGCAGCTCACTCTTCACTTGCCACACTGCAGACTGGAGGACGAGCACAATTCTACAGATGGATCCCCTAAAACCCTCTAGGAAGCTCTGTGACTACTTGAGTGCTTTCCAAGTTTTGAGGAACTCCTGCTGCCTCCAGCCATGCATGCCTGAACCCCAAATTCTTCTCCACCACCTATGATATCAAGGTAAAAAGTGAAGAGAGACCAAGTGAATGATTTAAGTTTACTCGGCACAATTCTTGGGAATATTCTCCTTAGATCAAAATTTCTGAGTCCCTTCAATCACCTTCTGAAGTAAGAGTCATGGTAGTTACTGCTGAACAGCGCCCTCTCTTCATACTATTCCAGGGGACTCTTGGGAAAAGGCTTGTGGGGAAGTCAAATTAGAGTCCTCCCCAAAATTGCAAGGCGTCTTTATGTTTGTTGGGACCTCCAGAAAATTCCAGCGTGAACATGTTTATATGCTCATAGACCTAAACTAAGTGGCTTGAAATAGAGGTACATAGGAGATAATGTGTCATGATGGGAAAAATATAGGTATGGGATCCAGTCAGATCTGGAATTGAATCCTGCCTCAGCCTCTTGTTACTGTGTGATCCTGGGCAAGTTAATCTTCTTGAGACTCAGTTTCCCTGGACATGAAATAATACACAGTTATGAAGGTAACTAAAAGATTAGCAATAATGTACTTAAGGCACTCAGCACACGGCTAGAACATAAGCTCTCAATAAACTCCATTACCAATAATAAGATCCACTCAGCAATACCCAGTGTATTCAAGGTATAACTGATTATGTTTTCACTGATTTCCATTTCTTATGAAAGGATTAAGGTTAAAATTACTTCATGACAATAGTTTATTACCATCAAGTTCACAAAAATGATCCTGTGAATCATCATATCTTGCCCAGTCAATGAACGCTTCTTTGCTTTGATTACTAGGAGAAAGAGGGAATAAAAAAGAAAAATGATTTAAATTGGGAATGGAAAATGTTACACTGTATCTTATATAATTAAAAACAGATAATCTGAGATCATGTCTTTACTTTAGATAGTTTCATAAATTCAATTAGTGGTTACCTGAAGGAATGATAAACACGTTACCTGAAAAATATAGATACTGACTTCCATGAAGTATTTCTATTTAACTATACTAAAACTGTGAGCCCTATTTCAGTAATAATTTTCACTAGAAAATTAATTGACAAAAATATAGGAGATGTAGTAAAATACAAAAGTCAACCTAGCCTTTTCGACTGACTTAGAAATAGCTGCAATCATTTTTTTCTAAAGTAGGAATTAAACTTACATTCATAATTCCTTTAACTTAAACTGCTTCTGTATTTATAGGACAAAAATACCAAGAACTGCATTTCTAGGATCTCCCTTCCTACGTAGTATTCACTGGTAACACCAATGTCACTTTAATCATGGCATATCATTCACTTTCCATACTACCTCACATTTAATAAAATATAAGATCAAGATCTCTACTTGGAGATCTTGGAACAACTACAGTCATTCAAGTAAACTCTGACCTATATTCACTTTAACCTATATTCAGACCATCTCTGTCTTAAATACATAACAGCAACATCTATAAGAGAGCTATTACCTTCTTCCTTATTTGCTACACAACAGGAAAAAAATCAAGGTAAAAAAATTATTTGTGTACCAAGTACAAATCACTTAGTTCCTAAATATGTTACTATCATAGCCAAGAATTTATTTTGTATTTGAGAAACTGTTACATGACATAACCACTAGAAGTCCACATAAGGCTGGCTGCACAAAATCCGCTATCAATAAACGTTGCCGATTTAATTCACAGTGGGATTTTTTTTTCCTCCTATGGGAATATTCAATTAACCTAATAATACAAGTTAATGGAAATACTTGTATCATAGGTGACACAGCTGGAATACAGGATATGATAAAACAAGAAGGCAAGTTCTAGTTACGGCTAAGATGGTAACTATAGTTATGTTACTTAATTAGAGAAGTCTTCTCTTTGAAAATAGTCAAGAACAAAGCAATTGTGACATAAATTCCTATTTTCTTGTTAACAATATGATTTAGAGGAACTTTTATCCTTGAGGATTCTTATGTGATGATGCTTTGCTGATCGTTTCATCCTAAACCCTGCCTGAAAACCACAGCAGAAAAGATGGGGAAGGCTAATCTAATGCTAACAGAGCTGGCTCAGTCTGGCTTATAGAGGTGGGTTGAAGGGAAGTAGTCCAGCTTTTCTAAAAGTCAGTTTGAAGACGGATGCCAAGCGACTTATGCCACAACTTCCTAGTCTTTACCAGGGACTTCCTGTCAAGAGGGCACTGGGTTAAAAGCAGTGGCCTTCGAAGTGGGCAATGCAGGGGCAGGAAGGAAAGGGCCAGAGTGATTTCCAAAGAGCAGGAGAAAACTTTTCACGGTGGTAGACAAAATAACTATCTTGTTTAAACTGATTTTCATGTGTACACACTTGTCAAAACACCAAGTGGCATATTTAAATAGGTACAGTATACTGCATGTCAATTAAATTTCAGTAAGGCTGTTTAAAAGTTATAGTACTGGGGCGCCTGGGTGGCTCAGTGGGTTAAAGCCTTCGGCTCAGGTCGTGATCCCAGGGTCCCGGGATCAAGCCCCGCATCGGGCTCTCTGCTCGGCAGGGAGTCTGCTTCCCTTCCTCTCTCTCTGCCTGACTTTCTGCCTACTTGTGATCTCTGTCTGTCAAATAAATAAATAAAATCTTAAAAAAAAAAAAAGTTATAGTACCAACTGCTGGAGAAGTTGTGGAATGAGGAACTCTCGTACACTACCAGTAGCAATGTATTTTAGGAGTCATTTTGGAAAACCACTCGGCAGTATTACTTAATTCCACCTCTAGGTATATTCTATATAGATTTGCATACCAAATGCAACCACCAAATGTCCGCCACTATATTTTTTGGACTGGCTGCTAAGTGGAAAACTCCAACTATCAATGATAGGATGGGAACATTTTGGTGTAGTTTTAACTATGGAAACCAATGAAAAAAGAATTAAATGCTACTACTAAGTTCAAGAACATGAATGACTCTCACGACTTGATACTTAATAAAATAAGCCAGACACAAAAAATACATTCCATATTATTTTATATAAATAGGCAAAATTAACTTCTGCTACTGTAATTCAAAATCACGGTTAACTTTGGACAGTGGTAGTGACCAGAAAAGTACACACAGCAATCTTCAGGGCAGCAAGTACATTGTTTTGGATGGTTGTTGCAGAGCTGGGTTCACTTTGTAAAATTAAACTCACCTTTATGCTTAACATTTGTATACTTTATTATGTTTCTGTTATACTTGGATTAAAAAATTTAAAAATAACTCTGTTCAACAAAAGATCTATAAGCAAAATTAAAAGACAAGCCCTAACAATGCATATAGCCAAAGAATTATGTTCAGATTGTATGAGGAATGCCTACAAATAATATATTTTTTAAAATTTATTTGACAGGGAGAGAGAGAGATCACAAGTAGGCAGAGAGGCGGGCAGAGAGAGAGAGGGAAGCAGGCTCCCTGCTGAGCAGAGAGCCCGAAGCAGGGCTCGATCCCAGGACCCGAGATCATGACCTGAGCTGAAAGCAGAGGCTTAATCCACTGAGCCACTCAGGCGCCCCCAAATTAATAGTATTTTAGAAGTACATACTATCCTACCTCCACACCCCACGCCAACGCCATGTTGTTTCACCATGGAGAAACAACAGCTAAGAATATAAAAAGGCACTTTACCTTAAAATTCTATAGTGACTTAAGTCCCAATCCCTGGATAACTTCTCTAGTTATATTCTTTCCTGGGTAATGTCATATGGTTTTAAAATGCCATATATTCACACATGACTCCCACA